GCGGTGGGGGTGCATGGCTTGGCCCTGGCAAGATGGTCTGATGTTCCCCCCCATCCCTCCTGAGCAGCCCAGCAGGGAATGTTTATCACCTCTGACTTAGTGTTTATCACCCCATTATGAAAACAACAGAGGGACATTACCAGCTACCTGTTGATTCTGCCTTTGTCCTGCCTGCTACAGCTCCGAGGTAGTCAGTATGTGGTCTGCTAGCTAATGCTGAGAGGTGTCTGTGAGGGACAGGGGAATGTCTGCTTGGCAGAGACTGGGAAGGGGATGGGGGGAAGCAGAAGGCAAGCAGATACCTGTAGAGACTGCTGGAGCTGCAGCCAGGGAATGAGGGGGAGGGGCCAGCCCTGCTGTGGAGCAGAGAGCCCCGCACAGCCCAGAGAGCATGCTGGGATGCTGGTGGAGTCTGATTTAATTTAAACCAGCAAGGGGTGTGGGACAGACATTGCATAATCTGGTTTGAGCCAAATCAGTTAAGTCTGATACTACATTCAACCAGGTTTATCTCAAACTGGTTTCAGCCTCTTTCAAACTGGTTTATGTGCAGTGAATATCTGTTCTGTTGTTGGTTTAAACCAGTTTCTGATCACTTAAACTGGTTTATGAGTAATGTCTGTCCCTAGCCTGGGGAGGCAAGCTGCCTGTGCAGTGACAATTGTTTTCTCCACTGCTGCTTTCCTCACCACTTTCCCCTCACCACTGCTTTCTCTGCTGCAGCGGTGGGGGGAAACTGAATTTAAGATGACCCTCCAAAAATTAGACTGTATACATGGAGAATTATAACAAGTTTTATAGAATTTAGAGTATAGAATCTAATTATGGGGAGGTTGTCTTAAATTCAAAGTTGTCTGGGATTCAGGTAAATACGGTATTTGAAAATGCCCAGGATAACTTCAAAGTTGAAATTGATAAAGATGGTTTCTTCTTCCTGCTTGTCTTTTACTTCCTCAACTTACCATCAGGCTTCCAGTGCTTTTTATTTAACACTTTCACTGCTGCTAAAAGCTACAGCCCTAGCTATAGATTGTTATAGAAAAGTCAATAAAAGAGAGTAGTTTCTTGGAACTAACTGTAATCTTGTTCCATTCAAAAGTGATTAAGCAAGCTATTGGCATGATGATTTAATATGTATATTATGGTAGCACCTCAAGGCCCTAGTCAATACTCATTGTATGAAGCTGACCAAATGCAGAGTAAAGAATAGTCCCTACTCCAAGGATCTAAACATTGTTTTCTTCCTTCTCTGACAGTATTTTCACCTTTTTTCTTTCCTCTTCCTGTTTTTTTCCTTTTCTTTTCCTGGGTGGGCTTTATCACTTTTCCACTTATGATTCTCTACTTTTTGCTTTCTGTGCTTTTAATCTGAAAATATGGTTGTGCACACTGAGCTGATTAGTCCTTACTACATCTGTTCTACTTCTCTAGCAGAGTAACTTTCAGTTTACTGTTACAACACAGCACTGTAAAAAAACATCTTACTAGATGGAGCAGAATAGCAGCTGTGTAATAGAGGCCAGCATGCTGTCCCAATGGGAAAGGGTCAACATCCAGGGATTGAGGTTATTCAGGAAATGGGAAACATATTTTTTCTTTCTTTGACCTACCTGTGACAAACTACTGTTCTACTGCATAACATTTATATTCTCACCGGAGTATGACAAGCTGCAGAATGGAACAAATATATATTGCAGACATTTGTAAAATGTTAGATGACTTACTTCTAGACATAAGTAATAGGTATTCATTCTGGTTTGGGTGCAGGAAGAATAATAATTCAACCAAAGAAAGCTATTGCAATAGGCCTTGCATCTAATATAACTGGAAATGTTGAAATATAAAGGACTGTTACTATCTGACTTCTTTCCCTTCTGCCCCTTCAAACTAACCATGATATGTTATTTTATGCACTATATTACTGCCATGAGGGAGCAATAAGTGACCAAGTTTCCACATCTTTCATCACCCTGGTTCCTTGATTTTCTCTTGTTTGAATTTACCATTCATTCCAGCACTAATTTCTATTTTGAGAACATATGCTGGCCTTTAATTTGCAATTGACATGGATGATAGGGCCCTATTCAGAAACCTGTTACAGCTGCCTTTGTGTTTTTTGCCTCACCTCATGTGGTCATTAGGATGAACAGCATATAATTAGCTAAATCCATGTAAAGCTCTGAATTGCAAATTCTTGTTTGTACTTTTAGTTTTCTGTTAAATGTTTTTCAGTGGCTTTCACATACTGTAAAAAATAAGAAATGTCCATGTTAATATTTTGGTAGTAATTTGGTTAGTATTTCATCTGCCATTGTGGGTTAAAAATGACAAGATCGTATTTGTGGGCAGGTGGCCAAAATATCAGAGCCCACTTTACTTGTCTACTTAGCTTAAGCCATATGGATGCAAATTACTTTCATGTTAACATACAGATATTTTTGAAATATTTGTCAACAATGGATAGGCATATTTTATATATTCTTTTTTTCTACAGACTGCATTTGTTGTTGAGAACCATAGTTTTGAATGTTGACCAGCTGAAGCTTTAAAATTATGCATGGATTAAAATGTTCCATTTCAAAACATGAATTATCCTAGTGGTTTATAATAAGCAAAATTTTAAACTGAGAAAATCTCAGAGGAGCGCATGATGATGAGAACAATATCAAAATGTGTTTTAATGTGTTAAGCAATTGAAGAAATTAAAAAAGTACAAAAATACAGAAATGATATGGATGCGTTTAAGCTTTGTAGTACCAGTAAATTTTGGTTTCTCCTCTCAGACTTCTATGCATGTTTTTGATTGGTTTAAAGATGAGAAATACTAGGGGCAATTTTCGTGATCATTCAGACTGATTGAAAAGCAACTCAAGAAAATGTGCTTGTGTTGGAACATGTGCTACTGCATGGGAGTGAAAACATCCACATATGCTGAATCAGAAAGAAAACACTCTCGCTTATGTTTGAGGGGCTGTGGCCCCAAAGTTTGTGCCCTTTCTATGACTGACTTGGTCAAGGGAGATCTTGGGGCCTGTGCCACATATTGCTTGCCTTTTGATCAAAGACCCATTGTGCCAGTTCATTAAATTATTGAGTTTTACACAGTCTGAAACATTCTACCTTGAATATCTCATGCTGGAAACATTGTCCCCGCAACTTTATTGCTTGCCAAGCCTCCATGTTTTCAGGCATGGCAATAGATGACTTGACTTGTAGAGGAAGGAACATTTAATGACATACTGAGTGCATCTACATGAGATGCTACTGCACAGTTGTTACTGCGCATTTATTTAGTACTTGTCTTAGCAAGTACTAAATAAATGTGCACTAACTGGACTTACTGCACAGTAGCACTGGCAAATGTCTTTTAGGTGATGCTACTGCACAGCAGCCTAATCATATTGTGCAGTAGAGTATTAGTACTGTCTGTGCTGTGATGCACTACTGTGGAATATTTTTTGGCTACTGCGCAGTCAGCGTCTCGTGTAGCTCCTTGTATCTCAGAATTTTTATGAAGTGCTCAAAAAAACTGAACAGAAATGCACTGTTAGCATTTTAGGCTATCCCTTTTAATGGGACCATTTGCTATATTAACATTGTTTTATGTTTTTGAGGGTTTTTGTTTTCCTTATCCTGTTAACCTGTGTTTGGGTTTTACTTAATAATCCCTGCCAAGTAGGCTGGGGCTGGAATAAATTATATTAGCTGGAGGTTTATTGATTTTGGTGGTTGAGCTGATAAATCATTGAGAAATGATGTATAAGCTTCTGTTTCTTATACAAAGCTGTCTTTTGTTTGTCAGGTGTCGTATAAAAAAGATGTAGAAGATATGCATAGATACACTGAGGTGCTGAACAGGCCAGACATAAAGATGGCAACAGGGATAACAAAGATAATAAGCAATGTATGCTCTTCACTTACTGTTTCTGTCAGGTTTGAAATATATTATTTTCTTCATGTCACCTTTAGTCAAACTGTATGGGATGCTTGCTAAGGTGTTCAAACTTGCTACCACAGACTATCTACCTGCATTTATATTTATCCACCTAGATAAAAGCAGTGTGAGAGAGTTGCCCAGATCATTTCAAAACAGGGTCATTTTCATTCTGAAGCCTGAGAAATCACTTTTTAAAATATGTAGTTTGAGCTATCACCAATAATTTTTGAGAGTTCATTTATACAAGTTCCATTTTTCTGACCATTTTAGAAAAAATGTGCAGTGTACTTGCTGGAGGATTTGTTTTACTAGGAAAGATCATGGATTTTCAGCTTTGAGACAAATTTTACTTCATTGTATCAGTGCAGCCTTACTGACTTCATTTTCTTACTACAGGATTGCACTGGTGTCAGAGTAGTATTTGACCTTTTATTTCAAAAGGACTGCCACTCCCTCCTCCTGGTTTTGTTTGAAAACTATTGTTAGCTCCTTAAAATGACTGCCACTCCCTCAGCCTAGTTTTGTTTGAAAACTATTGTTAGATACTGAAAATAATGTTATGGAAACGGTGGACTAAACTGTCAGAATTGCTGAGCTGCTATAACACATTCTGACTTTACTGAGAACTGTGGGAGACCAGCACCCCTTAAGTTGGACTCTGCAGTTGGATAGAGTTATTTTGTGAATGCAGTGCATTGTATTTCAGATAAACTAAATATTATGTTGTTAATGAAAGCTGGGAAGGGCTTTTTAAAGATCTGATTAGAACATTAGTGAGAGTAGTGTCACTGCAGGTCATTAAATGATGCTTTCTTTTCTATTAACTCTAATGCTTATATTTCCCTTGCTAAAACAGAAGCAAAGAGTTTAATAGTGATTAGTATTAATTTATTATTTTTTCTTCTTTTAAAGACTAAGTATAAGAAAGGAAGAGGAGAAATGAATAAGGAGTCTGCTGTACTTGGAAGACCAGATTTCGAGCACGCTAAAGAAGTTTCTAAACTTTTAAGCCAAGTAAGATCATGTCTGTCATTTTTACAATGACTTCATTCAGATATCTCCTTCCTAATAACACAATAAAATATTTTGTATTTGTTAAGATTATTATCTCCAATTGCATGAAAATGTGAAGCTAATGTTTCCAAACCCATTTCAGATCAAATTGCAGTAATTGGTAAATTTAAGATGCTTAGAAAACAGTAGATACAATTTTAAACAGAAGCACAATGCACTGTTAGACTCAGTTACATGTAGGCTGTCAGACTAGTGTGTTGTAGTATTTTCTAGGATTTCTGAAATATTAACTCTGTCATCTAGAGTCAGATTCAGCCAATTTTACTAATTTGGTGATTGAGGTAACTGGGACTTCTTATATAACCGCTCACCGTTGTGAGAAAAGGGATCAGGATTCAGTTCTAAGTGGACAAAAATGTAGCTACTCTTATACATTAAAATCAAATCAAGAACCAAATTCTCTCCTCATGTAGATGTATATAACTCTCTTTGATTTGCTAGGTAGTATCAATCTTCCCTGGAACTGAAAACACATGAATAAACATAGCATAGAAGAAGCTGCAGTGCAGTGTTGTGTAATTCTTTCATTTGACTTGGTGGCATCAATTTTCATTAGAGCTAAGAAAAACCCCATGAAGAAAACTGTGTTTAGAACAGTATAGAGTACAACAATTGGCAAAAAGCATTAAGCCTGTTTTAGCGGTCTTTAGCTCCTTTTGATAGGATCAGGTACTGGGTCCAGAGGTCAGCTGTGTATAAAGAATTTTCCAGAGAAACTGCCCCCCTTTTTATAAGAACACTGTGCATTTAAAAGCCATAGAATTTAAAAAAACCCAAAAACAATTTCTGCTCACTTTATCAATTAAAAACTGGTTTTGTGTTCTAATTTGATGATGTTGTTCCTTTTTTGTAACACATTAAATGGTAATTCCCAAGCAGACTGACAAGCACTTACTGCATTTCTCATACTCCTGGTATTTACTCAAGAAACAGTGCATGCTCTACGTGACAAGCTAAGGATTAGCTTTTTAGATCTGTATATTAATGATGGGAAGGGGATAAAATGTTTATTCTTTAGGAGTCACAGTTACTGATTTTTAAAAATATAAACAAAACATGCACTTTTTGTTCACTTAAAATGTACTGTGTTACATTTCTGACCCCATTCCCCTGCAGCCCACTTCATAAATGAGAGCTTGCTCCTTTCCCTAGTCCTTTTCCATTTTTCACATACTTGCAAAATCAAGAAGCACCTCCCAAGAGCACACTCCAGCTGCCCTTTGCTTTTGTTTCTGGCTCAGCTTGCTTCAGTTGTTACTAACAATCATGAACATCTTGTGCTTCCTGAGGCTGGCAGGGGGCACGGTGACTGACTTCAGGTGGCAGCGGCGGTGTTGGTGGTTGGGGGTGTGGCAGCGGTGAGTGGGGAGCTTCTGCAGGCAGCCTGTGGTGGTGTCAGCAGTGGGGAAAGGGGGTGGTGAGTGGTGACCGCCTGCAGGCAGCGCCAGCAGTGTCAGCGCAGCCAATCTCAGGGGGTGCACGTGCACGCCTATGCATTGCCAATGCTAACAATCATAATAACAAAATACAATTTATTGCTTAGTGCAGACTGTTGCTATACCAGTTCCATCATTCAGCTCTGGCTATGTACTTTTATTTCTCCTTTCTTCTTCTTCTTTAGCTTATACCTAGGGTCCATATAGCTGAGGGTGTGGCCACTGGAGAGGCATGGCTGGCAAAGTGCCGCACATTCATGCTTATTAGTAAATCACATTGGGTGCATCTACACGTGCAATTAGTATGACTCAATAAACTCTGGTGCAGTTTGCACTGGAGTTAACTGTTCCTGGGTGCAGCATCTGCATATGCATTGGACTGCAGCAGTTTGAGCTGGGGTGGACCAGCCCCGGGCTAGCAGGGTCCTGAGGGACTCAGCTCCTGGAATCCAGGTAGCAGCAGCAGAGGGGCTGGGTAGGGTATAAGGGTACTACAATGCAAGCCTAGGCAACAGGAAGCCCCTGCACTGTAGCACCCTTGTGCCCCAAGCAGCTCTGGTTACCATTTACACGTGCATTAAGCACAGTTATTTTTGCCACTTAAGATAGTACTGTCCCTTACAGTACTATTTTACAGTGGCAAAAATGCGCTTGCTGCGGTCTAATAGCATCACATATGTAGACTGTGACACTTACACCACAGCAAACTAGTTTATTACACTGTTAAGTGCATATGTAGATGCACCCATTATGTATTTGTATAACTGCAGTGTCTAGGAACCCCAGTTGTGGTTCTGAGATCCTATTACACTAGGATCTGTACACACTCAGTGCAAAGTTTTTTGAGAAGCTGGGTAAATCAGCCATGCAGAGTCCATGCTACCCTGTCTAGAGGTAACTAAGCTAGATGTGTGTGTTACACTGCGTGATGCTGTGTAGACAAACCTGCAGTCAGTAGGGGAGGCTTTTTTCAGGGGTGGGGAAAGGGTGTTTTTTATTTGTTTGTTTTTATATGAAAACTAAGACTTATATAACTGTGAATCCAGGATTGAGGGTGTTCAAGAAAAAGTCACACATTGTTATAGTAAAATGACGAATTGGTTAAGATGGTGTTTACAGTGGGCTGAAAAGGAAGTATTTTAATGGACTACATATGTGCAGATGCTATAGGGGTAGAGATGGTAAGAACAAGAAAAGGTGATGTGAGTGTACCAAAATGAAGGCAATTCAGGATCTGAGTCAGAGTGAGGGAGACAACTTTGGGATGTGATTGACCCTCAAGCCTCTGCCAGCTTTGTGTCTTTGTAAAAGAAAAAGAAAATTGACACCCAAAAGCAGCGAAGTGGCAGCTTCGTTGGACTAGTGCATTTTTGCACATCACAATCTATGCCACTGTTATTTATTTGAATCAGCATGAAAAGTAGGAACTTAATTAGACCCTTGGAAAAATGAAGCTTTTACATGTCTAGTTTCTTATCATTAGAAGGTAATTCATATTGTTTAGGACATACCTTATTTTATATTTATATTCTCTGCCCTGATAGTGATGAGACTGTTTATGTCTTTTGTTCAATTTTTAAAATTAGCTCTTTTTAAAAATCAGTAACCACTTACATTAAGCATTCCTATCATTATATATACATATACAATGCAAAAACATTATTATATATACTGTATTTTCTTGCCTACAACATGTCCAGGAATATAATACCTTGTTTTTGAAAGGCAGAATGAAGAAAACTTTTCCCCCCATAGTTATGTTTGCATGGAGGAAGGGCAGAGTCTAATCTTCAGCTGAGTCACCCTCCCTTTCTTGTTTAACTAAAGCTGAAACCCTAGCTGTTGCTAAAGACTAGTTGTCATGGGTGGATCTATGATTTTGAAAAGAGCTGAAGAGTCTTGAAGGCTATGAAATAGGAAGAGGAGACCAGAAACAGTTAACAGAGAGCAAAATTGCCCTGAGGAATTTTAGCTTGATTAGTGGAACACCAAGATTATTAAAAAGAGAAATGATAGTGAACTTTTGGAGTAAAGAACAAAGAGCCATTAAGTCAATTGACTCCCTCAGCTGCCTGAAGAGTAATGCAATGGCTGCTGCACTGTGAAGCAGGAATCAGAGCAGGTTGCTTGTATCTCGTGCAGAAAATCAGCATCCTTTCTTAATACATAGAACTCAATTTGGGGGCTGATTTTGGGGAAAAAGGCACATGTTGTGTGTAGAAAAATACAGTGTGTGTGTGTGTATGTCTATAATGTACAAATACATATATGATATATACTAACTTTATAGTCTTGTGATAAATTCTTTTGAATTGTAATTTACATTTTATATTACACCAATGTGATACCTGCTTTACAGGAAAGAGTTAATAGAGGTAAGATTTTGTGTAAAATGTACTTCACATTAGAGTACCAATGGAGATAACATTGAGGGATTAAATCATGAATTTAAGCACTCAATTTGTGTCTTTTTTTCTTAGCTTAAACTCAACTAGCACTTTCAGGCACCCACATTTAATTTAACTCCATGTTTACATTACATATCCTTCAGTAACTAGGTATTCCTGCAGGTTTTTCACTTCTTAATCTGTTTTTGGCCATGAGGAAACGTTTCTGCTGTAAATGTGTTTATTGCAGTAGTACATTCTGGGATCCCAGTGGCTGAATGATTCGGTTTTTGTATTTTTTTTTTTTTTGTAAATCTGAACAGACTTGGATGGTGATGTCATCCATTTATGAAACTGAACACTCCCTGTGTGAACAGCTTTGAACTACAGATTTGATTCAGGAATGTTGCTGCTAAGCTTCAAAAGAAACTGTTCTATCCAGCTGCAATTGTGACTTTTATAGGTTTTGTGTAAGGCAAATGAGAAAATTGTTTATCCAAACTTTATTTGATGCCAGTAGGTTTTTCAGGGAGGTTGTTGTGTTAAAGTCTGCTCATTGGTGAGCAACAATAGAATGCAGATCCCACACATTTCCTTTAAATTAGTCCTCCACTCTACAAAACAAACAAACAAAAGGCCTTAATTAAGATGTATTATTTTAAACCCATGTCATTATTGAGCTTTTTTTAAAGATCAAATTCTTAGATAAATTTCCACCAACGAATTTAATTTTGACTCCCACATTTTTGCTTAGCATCCATCACCACCCTTGTCTCATTGAAATATTTTTCTTGTTTGCTTTTAATTAATACCTTTTCTTTCAGGCCTATTTCATTTCTTTAAGCCATATTTCTTCCTTCTTCCCTTCCAAGAGAAAGTAAACATAGCATACAAGTACTTACTCTGACAGATTACTTTGTTTGTTGTTCCCTCTCTCTCTATCCTAATCTTCCTTCATTGTTTCTGGGCTTGCATTAAAAAGGGAGAAATAATAGGAAAAGAAAAATAGATAAAAAATGAACATATGTGCAGTGTTCAGTAAAATGCTTACCCATGGCATATCAGTTATAAACTGCTGGGAGTGCAAAGGGATCCTGTTGAGGTCATTTAAAATTACTGTTCTGCCTCTGCCTTGCCCCAAAGTGGTGTGGCTTTGGAGTAGAGAGCAGAGACAATGAAGTAATACAGCAAGACAAGGCAGTTAGATATGGAGGTAGTCAGAGGTCACTTCCTAGATTATAGACTTCTAAAATCAGATTGCATATATGGTCCCCCTAAGTTTAGAACCCTCATTCTTTTAGGCAATGTACTACAGCCCCTTGTGGTCATGTTTTTTTCTTCAACACTAGTCTATTCCATTAATGTGATGAGAAACAGTATTACAGAACACTAACAAGAATTCATTTCTGAAATATCTGTACTGAAATGTACCATTATTATTTTTTAAAATCTATGGCTGTCAGATTAGTTCAGTTGTGGCATGATAAATTAGTTGGGGAGAGTGCCCATTTGCATTGATGTTTTCATATTTGCTTAAATATTAGGGACATGTTGTGGACTCAGTCCACATGTACAGCTTGATGTCATTTGTTGACAAAGGGGATGATATGGCATTGAGTAATATAATGGTTATATGGACAATGACTTTATAACGTACTTTGCTTCCCAAGGAGTAGAAACAGGGTTGCATTTGCCATGCTTATTTGATCCCCATGTTAGATGGCTCATTGATTCACACTTCCTAGCAAATTTAATTTTCTTGAATTTATATTAGGAGGCAAGCTGGAGACAAACTTTTTTAATAAAGAAAAAGCCTCAAAGTTATCCCTATGCTACTACTTATAGTGAATATGTAATTGCCTTGACAAAGCAATTGTCCTTGCATCCAGATATGAACATTTCTAATTGATCCAAAGCCAATGCAAATGTCTTGCAATGTGAGTTAGATGAATCCACCAGAAATCAATAGATGTTTCTTCTCAGAATCTGCCTTAAAATTTATAACGCTTATTGGGTTCTCACAAAAAAGGTCTTTTTTAGAAGTTACATTATTCAGATTTACTGCTTTTGAGAAATAAGTTTGATTTGTTTGATCATTTCGTAGATCTAGAACATAAATAGTGAAGTGACTGATTTTTTTTCTTTCTAATGTTCCTGAGATAAGAGATTTGCTAAGTTAATGCAGTGATACTTATGTAAACTAAAACAGGATGAGTCTTCTGCATTATAGTAAAACTAAAATGCAGATGAAAATTGTTCCAATGATAAAACCCTGAAAAAAATAATTTCTGAAAGGGGCACTTGTAGTGTAACCACTTTATCAGACACTTGTGCAGGGAGAAGGAAAAAAACTTGCATGTTTATTTAATGGATAGCATGGTAAATTGTACTGGATGTAATGTAGACTCAGGCATGAGAGATCTTGGCTTATATTCACAAAAACAACACAGTTCAAAATGAAATTTGAACTTTATTTTGCCCCATTATTCCCAACTGTTGGAAAGCAGCAAGACAGTGAGCGTGAAGTTTGATGACACAACTAACAGCCATGCACAATGGGTTGAGCTTAAGCATACAATTTTACCATTTTCTTAATTTCTGTATGTTTGCAGATGTTTATGTTTGGGAGTATGTTTTACCTGGTGTTGTGGTCTTAACTATAATTATTTGCACCCCTTTCCCCTTTTTCTTTTTTTTCTCTTAAAAAATTCCAAAGATTAAAGATAGATATTTATTCAATCTACATGTCACAGCAGCAAGGTAGGCACAATTCCTTTTTTATAGATGAAGGCATTGAGGCAAATTGTGTGTATCCTAAGATCTTGCAGGAAATCTATGGAGAGCTCAGAGATCTTTTTGCCCAGCTTTACAAATAATGGATGAAAAACTGGCCTCATTGACATTAGTGGGAAAACTCCCATTGGCTATGATTTGGGTGAGAATTTTATCCTTGACTATAGTACTGATGGGATAATTTACAAATAATTGGTTTAAGAAATGTAACTTCTTTTGGCTTCTAGAATATTTTTAGCATCTTTTCATTGATATTTTATTCAAAATTGTGTGAATTAAGCCACTCTCAATGAGTATTCAGTAGTCATTGGGTGTTTACAGATATTTGAAGGTTAGAGAGCGTAAAAAAGTGCCACTGAACCTATCTTAGTTCACCCATATGTGGACCTTACACTTAAATCCCTAGTTTGGTCCATCTAAATTTTGAATTGTACAGATGTTCTCTGAAGGTTGGATCAGTTAAAAAATGGATGGCTCAATCTAACTTTAGTTCACCTAAGAGGCACGCTAAGTTAGATTGGTTATGGTTAGACTAATCTAACTAAATATTTGTACATGTTCAGAATGGAGCCCTGGGCTGGGGAAAACCCAGGTGCTCACAGCAGCTTCCCTTCTGCCCCCACCCCTAGCCTATTTCTAGCCATTCCTTCCCCCACCCCAGATGGACAACCTCCTCCCAAGGACCAGGTACCCCTGAGCCTGCAAACCACCCCTGGTGCCAGGAACCTGATTTGAAATAAGTCAGGGTGAAGGGAGGGGTGGGCAGGATCAGAGGGGATGTTGGTCGTGGGGGTGGGGTTCATCTGAAGGTGGTGGGATTGGGGGGTTGTCATCCCTATTTTGGGGTGGGGAGTCCCCTCTCAGACCCCAATAACTCCCCATGGACCTTCTAACCCCCCAGGCCTACCCCCACATGGCTAGACTGCCTGATCTGCCTGCTCCTTCTCCTGCCATGATTTATTTCAGTTGGGGTTCTGGCACTGGCAAACGCTAGTAAAACTGGCACCAGGAGCTCTCTAATACTGCCAACCCCCCACAGATCCTGCTAGGCTCCAACCCCCACAGACCCCACTATCCCTTCAGTTCCCCCAAACCTTTTCCCCAAGGACCCCACTAACCCCCCGCAGATCCCACTAGCCCTCTGATCTCCCCAGGCCTCTCTGAGTACTCCAGTAGCACCCTGAGACCACCAACCCCTCCACACCAATCCCACCTGCCCACCATTTGCCCTACTGAGAATTACCTTAAATCTGGCTCCTGTCACCTGTCTAATCACTGAGTTAGATTGGGCAACCATTTTTAACCTAAACTGAACTTCCCAAACTTCTAAGTGTTACATCTGTACACTCTCAGGGTTAAGCCAGTCTCAATAAGTATTCGCTAATCCAACTTTATTAATATTGGTTCGTCATGTAGATCATATAGGGCTTTTATTTTTTTACTCAAGCACTTGAGTATAAATACATGCATGTGTAAATCTAAAAATTACTTTTTTATGTTAGTAAGACTCAATTACATGAGAGTTTGTAAAAAAACTAACGTAGTATGGACTGAGCTCTGGCTGAAATGAGGTCTTTTAAATATTCAGTTGAATAATCATAGTCTTATTTTTTAGTAAGTATATGCACCCAGTGCTGTCTGTTGTATACCTAATCCACAATAATATGTTGTCAATGATAGTGATGCTAGTGATATCACAAATATATTTGCTTCTTTTTATTACCTTTATTTACATACAACTGTTGGGGGCGTTGTTTGTTTAAAACAGGTGATTAATATATGTTAAAGTAGAAATATTCTTACGTAAAATGTGCTCATGGGGAACTTTTCTCTCTTGTCATCTTTTTCACTATTGTTATAGTGTTATAGGGGGATTCATGGATGAAGAATTTGTCTTTAATAAGCTCCTTAGTAATCTCTGAATTTGTCATGCCTCCCTTCACTGTTACATTTTAATGTAAGATCTGTTTGCTTTGACAACAGGTTAAATACAAAGAGCAGTTCAAAAAAGAAATGAAGAGTCACCAGTATAATCCTCTTGACAGTGCTGCTTTCAAACAAGCACAGATTGCAGCTACTTTGGCAAGTGATGTAAGTTCATTATTCTATGCTGTGTCCTAGCCCAAAGAAAATATGGTATCTGTAAGCCTCACAACTTGCTTGTAAGCTGAAGCTGCATTGTTCATCTTTGATTTTTCTAAGAACACAATTTGTATTATGTTGTGTGTATATAAAGTAACTGAGGGTTGACTATAGAATTAAACATGGAAATCAGTTTGAAAGTAGAATTCAGCTTTTGGAGCCCATGGTAGAGTACAATATACAGGGACATATTTAGCTTATTTTTCCCTTATTATGAGACCTGTCTCCTCCAAGTTGCTGTAGTGTACCCTTCTATGGGCATTTTCTGTCCTGACGTTCCTCTAGTTGTGACCCAACCCACTTATTTTAGAGGCTCTACCATTTGTACTGAATTTCTGGGTAATCAAATGGAGTGGTAAATTGGGAGATAAAGCTGAAGTTCAACATTGCATGCAATGAGAGCAGTGAGAGGATTTAATATATGTCATTATCAGATAATGCCAGTATTATTTTCTTAACATTTATCAGTAGCATAATCCTGTCAATATAGCAGGAGTACAGCAGTTTGGCTGTCTCACAATTACACGATTTTGAGTCCCACTTCAGACTAATGCTAATGGCAGTCTCTCCAGTTGATCTACTGTAAGCATGTACCTTGTCATTTCAGCTGGAGAGTAAAAGGCTACCGGAAAAATGCGGTCAGCCACTAATCTAAGATGTCCAACTTCTTGCTCAAGGCAGGATAATCTGTGTCCAGATCATCATAGGCAAATATCTGCCTAACGTGTTCTTAAAAACTTTGGGAACAACCGTCACACATTTTTGGAAAATCCTATTACATGGCCGAATCAATTACTATCTATAGCTCACTTTTATAAGTAGTGGATATTTAAATATTTTATTCATCCTTTAAAACAGTGTTTTCCAAAGTATGGGATTGACCTCTGGGAACCATGAGAGCTCAGCATTTCCCACTCAGCTTTCATTAAAAAAATATTTTAAAACTAGTCCTTAGCTACTATAATTGCAAAAAATATTTTAGACAAACGAGGTAGAATTGAGGCACTAATGTCTGCCTGAATTTGCAGAGAGCCTGACAAAGTATATTTGCATCTATACCAAGGATTTTACTGGCACAAATATGTTGAATTTATCTCAGTAAGGTAATAGCTTAGAAGCAAATGGGTGTATCTACATGCGCAATTAATTCGAATAAACTCCAGAGCAGTGTGGGACTGAGTAAACTACTCCTAGGCACAGCATCTACATGTGTGCCTAGGACACCAGCAATTTGATGTGGGGTGGAGCAGTTTACACCAGGGCCTCTCCAGCTCTGCTTGGCTTGGGCTGGCAGGGGACATGGGGAGTCAGTCCCAGGCTCCAGGTGGTGACATCTGGTAGTGGTTAGGGCATGGTGGTACTGAAAGTGTGGAGCCATGTGGCTAGATGACAGACAGGAGTTTTGCTCCCTGCTGACTGGGCTGACAAGGTGCAATTTACACCTGCAGTCAGCATCTGCATGTGCATTTAGTTGTAGTTAATTACCCTGCTATTAGAGAGTACTTTTCCGTGACAATACTATCTTATGGTGGGATAATTAGTTTACTACAGTATAATAGTGTCACGTATGTGTAGACAGTAATGCTTTACTCCACATTTAATTAGTCTACTCTGCAGATAAGAACATGTGCAGACATGACCAGTGACTATATTTAAAGGATTATTTTAACTGTTTCACTGCTTGTTAAAACAAGCAGGCTTTGTGTACAATTTAAATGTTTATCTGGCATAGTTAAAGGAACAACCTGTTCCTCCAGTGTAGATGTTGTTGTACTGATACAGAAGACATAGCTTGTATAAGTTTACTGAAGTAAAATAAAGTATATCTGGGTATATCTGGTCTTATGCTATTATAAATGCATCTACCATAGGGATTTTACTGAAACATTTATGTTTAATAATCACACACTTTATATTTTGCATGTATAATATTGTTGGCCAAATTTAGACTAGGACCAGAGAGGAGGTTTCATATTAAGAAAGTGTATACCAGCATTGCACTGTTCATAGGGAACAAGGGTGAATGGGGCAGGAAAATGTCCAAAGGACCAGTCAGCTGTGGGGAGGTGTGAGACAGATTTATAATATGGGAAGTTTAGGGCTTTAACACCCCGGCAGGATTTCAGGGGTAATTCATTTCTTTTTTCTAAAAAGTTTGGAAAATCCTTTACAGGCTACTCTCTGCCATTCCATCAAGTTATTACATTCTCTCTGGAGGTGACTGTTTATTCTAGTTGATGAAAAAACACTATTAAATAACATGTATGTAAATAGAATATGTATACAAAATATTGATTGATTGATGGTTAGCTGTTCTGTAGAGGATAACTGTTCTGTATAGTTAATGTAAAAATATCTGAAGTGGGAGAAGAAAAGAAGGAATTAACATTGTTTAAAATAAGTAGCCTCAGTGTAATTAGAATAAGATATGCTTAGTAAGAAAAGGTCTGCAGCCGTAGAAAAATTGAAGATTCAAATAAAAGTCAATAAACAGTAACAGTTGATGCACATGTCTTCTGTATTCTGCTTTAAAAAAATCTTATAAAAATTGGATTTGCTTAACTTTACTCCCTTACCTTTTTGCAAAGTGATTTGTTACCAAAATATTTGTTCAGGACTAGAAATGAAGCCCTTTATTATATGTTGATTTTTATCAAATAGTAGTAAATGAGCACCATCTAGTGGCATATATACATTATGATTGCAAGCACTATAACAGGCATAAGACAGGGCAGGATGGCACCTTAAAGCAGTGGTTCCTATTACTCTTCCATAACTTCTGTGAATTGATTGGCACCCCACTTCAGTAACTATTTATTGCAACACTTAACCCTTGGCATGGAGGTGGGAGGTAGATGGGGAGACTGAGTGAGCACTCAGCTACTTGTAGAACAGCAGGGCAGTGACAGTCATGAGATGATCTCTTTGCTCTGGAGCCAACACAGAGGCACCTAAGACACTTAGGATACAGACAGAAGTTACATTTGTCATGCGAGTGGCTCGTGGAAAGCACTCTACAGCCATGTGCTTACAGTAGTGCATGGCTGCAGAGTGCTTTAAAAGTGCTTGATTTCTTGATGGTCTGAACCCTCATTATATGAGGGTTCAGAGGAAGGCACTCCAAAGTGGAGCACCTTCATTAACATCTGATACAGCCCAGCTGCTCCCCTGGTGCTGTCTTCAGAATGGGAGGGGGAGAAGGGAAGGGAGGAGTTTGGTTTGGGGTTTATCTAGCTTGTGCTGGAGGGTGAGGCAGGTGGATTGGAGCCCCCCCACCTCAGCATTGGATTAGAGGCCCTTCCACCCCCATTTTGAAGTCACCACTGGAGCTGAGGTGGGGGGCAGGGTTAGGGATAGCATATATGTAGCTGCTTCAAACTGGAGCAAACTTAGCTGCTCCCAAACCTCTGGACCCAACAATGAATGTCTGTTGGG